ATTGTTCTATTAATCAGTAATATGGCGCCTCTCCTCTGCATGAGTACTGCAGCACACTGGGAACACTGAAGATTTTCAGTGGAGGTTGTGGGCAACATTTTTATTTTGGAAGAACTTTATGAAACATGTATAAATAAAACAGTACAAATTAACACTTGTCTACCAGGCACTTATACCCCCTTCCTTACCAGGCCAATTTTCAGCTTTCAGAGCTGTCGCGTTTTGAATGACAAATGCGTGGTCATGCAGCTCTGTACCCATATGAAATTTTTATCATTTTTTTCTCACAAATAGAGCTTTCTTTTGGTGTGGTATTTACTGTGCCGCTGGGTGCTTTACTTTCTGCGCTATAAACAAAAAAGGAGCAAAAAATTTGGAAAAAAAAAAAGGTTCCTTTGTTATCTATTATAAAAATTTGCAAACAGGTAATTTTTCTCCTTCACTGATGTGCGTTGATGAGGCTGCACTGATAGGCAGCACTGATGGGCACTGATAGGCAGCACTGATGGGCAAACTGATAGGGCAGCACTAAAGGGCACTGATAGGCGGCACTTATAGGCAGCACTAATGAGGTGGCACGGATAGGCGGCACTGATAGGTGAAACTGATAGGCGGCACTAATGATGGGTACTGATAGTAAGCACTGATAGGCGACAATCTGCTGGGCACTGACTGGAGGCACTGCCGGGCACTGACTGGCGCACTGCTGGGCACTGACTGGCTGCACTGCTGGGCATTGACTGGCGCAACTGCTGGGGCTGTGAACTGACCGGCACAACTGCTGGGCACTGATTGGCAGCACAGAAGGGCACTGAATATAAGATCGCCGGGTGCGCGCCCCGGGGGGCGTGCAGGAGAGCGTGTTCTGGGAGGACGTCATATGACGCCCTCCCAGAACTGGCCGTCCGCAGTGTAGCTGTCATTCAGCTATCTGCGTTCGGCAACTGGTTAAAGGATCAATACTGTGTCTGTTGTATACACTGCATAAAAGGAATACAGTTTCATAAAAACTAGTAAAGCATTTTTAACATGCTTTCAATGCATTTTTCCACCTTATGTGACTTTTAAGGCCTATAGGAAATACATTTTAACGTGCAAAAATTCATGTATTGTTTCTTTTGCATCAACACAAGTATACATAAACCCAAGCACAAAAATGTAATATTGCAGCTTACACGGCATTAGATATAGAGGCTTCATTGGGGTTTTTTTCTGCCTTTTTTCTTTTTTTTTCACCTGGTGATCCTGACAGTATTACACTTTATGTCCAACAACACTCACTCTCTATACTGTATCTGTAGAGGAGATGCATTGTCGGCTTAGGCTGCTGTCATACTTTGGACTACAAACAACTGACCTCTCCTAATCTCCAAAACATCAGGGTGCAAAATCTGTAGCAGCTGTGCGTGTTAGCCAATCAGCTTCTAACTTCAGCTTGTTCATTTCAGCTTTGACAAAAAAAAGATGGAAGCTGATTGGGTTCTGTGTACAGCTGCACCAGATTCTGCACTGTCTTGTTTTAGTAAATCAACCCCAAATTGTTCAGAAGCCCATGGAAGAGAACTAGGAAGCCTGTGAAAGGATAAATTCACCTTACATGTTCCACCCGTTTTTTTTTATGTTCCCAATGCTGAAGTTCCCCGTACTAGCTGTCACTTTTTAAAAACAGGGCAGCTGTGTGGGGCTTTGCCCACACAGCCACATCAGTCATTTAGTGTTCTGTGAATGAATGAACTACAAGTCCCAACAGCCTTAGCGGCTGTCAGCCTGTAGTTCTCAATGAACTACCATGATGTTGTGGAGCACTGTAGTAATTCATTGAGTCTTTCTGTCTGTACATCTGCTTGCTCATACATTAAGCAGATATACTGACAGGTCTGCAGGAGACCTGCATGGCACCAGTGATCTGCTGTTCTCTGGTGCAATGCTTTACAGACTCCTGCAACCAAAAATAATAGTACTTATAATAATTTTTGGTCAAAAGGTGAACTTATTCTTTAACATTGTTTCTGCTCTCAGTTCAGTACACAGGAAGTTAGGATAAGTTTCTGGGAGGACTAAAATGTATTTTTTGTGTACTTGCAAAAAATATAATTGGCCTGAGAAAAAAAAAAGAATACCACTGCAGCCACCACATGGAAGGACTAGTGCAATGCAATATATTATATTATTGTTGTTGGTTTTGGATCTACCTAACCTTCCTAGCGGTAATCCAGAGTGTGGCTCGGGGTTAATTTACAGTACCCAAAGCGGCGACCCCGAGCCACACTCGGGATTACACTGTAGTCCTTGTCCTGTGATCCCCCAATCCTTACCTTGTCCTGCGATCCCTCAATATCCTCCCTCTGTGTCCTTTGGCTGTGTCCTCCATCTGTCTTCTGGGTTCCCTTCCCTACGAACATCAAGAGATTCAAAAAAGTAAAAACATGACATACACACAATACGTTGTAATCTGTTAGGATTACATTACTGTATCAAACCATTTCACATAAATTTTGTCCCTAGTGCTTTGTACTGTGCCCTGCCTGCACTTTTACCGTTTCTGCCTGGATACTTGAGAATGTCTATGGCATCCAAAAAGCATCCCTTTAGGTCAAAAGCGGTTTTAAACCAGCTAGAAAACAGCGATAGTGAATTAGAATCACTTGCAGAATTGAGTGATAGTGATTCATGGGGAAATTCGTCATCAGACACTGAAAGTGATGACAGTGACGATTCTGCGACTGAGCTCAGTGATGTGCAAAATTGGTGCTCTATTTCAAATTTCAGTGTTTTTGGTTTGATTACATTATTGAATTACATTTATTATTATATTATTATTTTTTATAATTATTTATTATATTATAATTTATGATTTTGTGTTTCAAACTTTATCATACGCGGGATGTTTACTTGTTTGGACAGATTTAAGTGAGTTATTCCTAAGAATTACAGGCCTACAATATAAAACAAATTTCCATGCAAAACAATGTACTGCTTTGACATTCAAAAATATTGACATAATTAGACCGCCAGGGAGGTTAAATTTGTTAATGCTCAAAAAAAACATGAATATTCCTGCTCTAACAGTTATGAAGAAAGCCGTTGAACTCATGTCCCAACATGCAGTATTCGGTTGCAGATGTATAAAAGAAGTCCCAATCTCTGAGACCAATTTATTCACTAAAGGCCTGTGTATCTGACAACCGGGGGGCACCAGATTTCTGAGAGTTGCAGCTTTTAGCCCCATTCTTGTTTTCTTTACAAAAATAAACCAACTTTTCTTCATAAATAAAGACTTGAAGGATGTGAGTATTCAGATATGAATTTGAATGTGAATGAAAGGCTGGTCATTATGATTCTGAACCATGGCCTGCAGAAAGCAGATAACTGCCAGGTTAAAGATTGGAGCCATTAAATTAGACTAGATTAACACATACAGATATTTATTACCCAAGTATAACAGTCCCTCTTTTTTGTCCTATTTATAATGCACAGTGGTGTATTTGGGTTTTGTGCTGCCCTAGGCAACACAAAAATTGGATGCCCCCCCTCTCCGGTGGAGAGAGCTTGCCACCGACCAACTCCAGACCCCCCCTTCCCACAGAGAGAGCCTTCACAGCTCTGGCCATCCCCAGGAACGACAGTTGGGCTCTGCATACACCATCAAGCAGCCCACAGCCTCTCTTGGAACCTACCTGATCTCAATGTCCCTTCTTCCGAGGGGCACTGCTGCCCCTCTAAAAAAAAATACCGCCCTAGGCAAATGCCTTGTTTGCCTTTTGGTAAATACACCCCTGATAATGCAGGGTAGGTATTCTGAAGCACACTAACTGTAGCTGCTTGCTGCCCCTCATTCACAGGAAGCCTGTGTGTCTGTGTATCCAAGTATCCATGCTACTAAAATTCTCACTTCTCACTCTTCTTTGAAATTTTAGTCCTGTTGGCAGAATGTCAAACAAAACATTACACACTGCAGGCCTTGGGATCAGTCATACCCACCCCGCGTGTAAGGAGCTCTGTGAAAATCTAGCAACAGTGGATTACATAGAGCTGGAATGGATATAGTTAGCAGTTCCAAGGCTGATTTGGCCCAGAGTTGCTCAATAACCTTTAATTAATCATCATTCATGTCTCACACTGCTATAAACTCATGAAAGCAGAACTGTTACTATAAAGCAGTGTTTCTCAACCTTTTTCCATTCGAAACACCCTTTAAAAGTCTGCACAAGCTCAAGGCACCCCATTCTAAAATGTAAAAAACTGAAAGTTTTACATAAAACAGCAACATCCACACATGTAGGACACCCAAAGTGATTTATTCTTCCAAAATACTGTATGTACACCGTTGCACACTGGTACTGACGAATATTGCAATGTTTTTCTCCCGCACTCAGCTAATGTGAACCCAGTGCTGATGGAGAGGGGCAGGGAAGGGGAAAACAAGGATCAACTAATGGTGTCATTAGGATGACAGCAGCTTGAAGGTTGTGATGGTGCACAATGAAAACTTGTGACTTTGTATAACTAAAAGGCAGGCTTCATCCACCTGCTGGCTTGTATACAATTTTTTGGCAACTGTTAGGCATTTTGCCATGGAACCCCTGAAGGAACCTGAAGGCACCCAAGGGTGCCCGGGCACCCTGGTTGTAACAGACTGTTATAGATTACTGTACTTTTCACTTTCAATAATTTTGTGTTGCCTTATCTCAATATTGTCAATAGGTATGATTTTATGTTGCTTGTTTTATTGTGAGTTCATGTATTTATTTCCCTTTTTGAAACAGAATTCTGTATGTTTTGATCCATGTGATTTAACTTTCATTTACACAGACTGGAAAGTATAAAATTTCAGCAGCATGCTATCTACAATATGCATTTTTATTTCTTTTTTTTTTATTTAAACGTAACTTTTAAGACAGTGTATTATCTGTATGTAGTTATTTAGATATTACACTTTTCTACCATTTCAGCATGTTGTTCAGTGTGTGTTTGTCGCCATCCGGACTATTGGTAACATTATGATCGTTACAACACTACTGCAGTTTATGTTTGCCTGCATTGGAGTTCAGCTATTTAAGGTGAGCGTTCGGATTAAAGCGGTTGGTGAGTAGTCTGTATTTGTGAATAGAACTCTTTTAAATGCTGCAGTTTTTTCGAAGTTCCTATAGTGACTAACAGTTTATTATCCCGAGTTTCATCTTAGCAGAACATACTGTAGCTCATCTTGCACTGAACATACAGGCTTATTCAAGATATGATTCACCTGTGCAACCCTCATCCACAGCTAACATCTGCAACCCTCATCCACAACTGACATATACAACCCTCATCCACAGCTGACATCTGCAACCCTCATCCACAGCTGACTTCTGCAACCCTCATCCACAGCTGACATCTACACCCCTCATCCACAGCTGACATCTGCAACCCTCATCCACAGCTGACATATACAACCCTCATCCACAGCTGACATCTGCAACCCTCATCCATAGCTGACATCTGCTACCCTCATCCACAGCTGACATCTGCAACCCTCATCCACAGCTGACATCTGCAACCCTCATCCACAGCTGACTTCTGAAACCCTCATCCACAGCTGACATCTGCAACCTTCATCCACCACTGACATCTGCAACCCTCATCCACAGCTGACATCTGCAACCCTCATCCACAGCTGACATCTGCAACCCTCATCCACAGCTGACATCTGCAACCCTCATCCACAGCTGACATCTGCAACCCTCATCCACAGCTGACATCTGCAACCCTCATCCACAGCTGACATCTACAACCCTCATCCACAGCTGACATCTGCAACCCTCATCCACAGCTGACATCTGCAACCCTCATCCACAGCTGACATCTGCAACCCTCATCCACAGCTGACATCTGCAACCCTCATCCACAGCTGACATCTACAACCCTCATCCACAGCTGACATCTGCAACCCTCATCCACAGCTGACATCTACAACCCTCATCCACAGCTGACATTACAACCCTCATCCACAGTTGACATATGCAACCCTCATCCACAGCTGACATGTACATCCCTCATCCACAGTTGACATATGCAACCCTCATCCACAGCTGACATGTACAACCCTCATCCACAGTTGAAATATGCAACCCTCATCCACAGCTGACATCTACAACCCTCATCCACACCTGACATCTGCAACCCTCATCCACAACTGACCTCTGCAACCCTCATCCACAATTGACATCTGCAACCCTCATCCACAGCTGACATCTACAACCCTCATCCACAGCTGACATTACAACCCTCATCCACAGCTGACATCTGCAACCCTCATCCACGGCTGACATCTACAACCCTTATCCACAGCTGACATTACAACCCTCATCCACATTTAACATCTGCAAGCCTCATTCACAGCTGACATCTACAACCCTCATCCCACAGCTGACATCTGCAACCCTCATCCACAACTGACATTTGCAACCTGCATCCACAACTCAGCTCTGCATTCCACATATACAGCCCACTTCTATACCTACTGTCCACAGTTCCCCTCTGCACCCCATTGTCCACAACTCAGCTCTGATCCCCTGTCCAAAGCTCACCTCTGAACCTTTATTTAAAGCTTGCACCACTGTCTGAATCTCACCTCTGTCCATATCCCCTGTCCCCATCCACAACTCACCCCTGCATCTCCTGTCTGCAACTAACCACCACACCTCTGAAGCCCCCCCCCCCCCCCCTCGTAAACAGCTGAGTTCTAAAGCTTTCTTCCTCAGCTGTGGTGGTACAGAGGTCAGAACGGAGAGGGGGGGTGCAAAAGTAGGGTGTGAATTGGAGATGCAGAGGTAATGACTGTCACATTTGCACACACCTTGCACAATCCCCCCCTGCAGAAAAAAACTGTCAACAACATCCTAGGCTGGCATGCACATTCATTTGCGGCTCCATTCCCCTGATCCCACCCCATGGGCTAGTGTGATCATCAAGTCTGCAGTGGCATCCACACACTAGGCTGGTGTCTGTACCAAGCCCTGCCCTCCCCCCCTTTCTGCCCATAAACATAATGCTCCCTGGAACTCTTATCCTGCTCTGGCTGAAGGGACAGGGAGGGTTCTGTAGGAGCTGTGCTGTGGAGAGGTGCGCTGTCGATTGAAAACACAGAAGCTGGGCTTCTGTGTATACAAGTGACAGTAGATAGCAGTGAGCTCAGGGCCAGTGTCACCATGTTCCAGCTGAAAAAAAGCCCTGGCAAAGAGCATAGCAGCCTGATTACCAGTGTAATATACTTTAGCTTGTCAAGATAATAGACTGTATGAACAAATTGAAAGCTGAACAATTATAATTCTTTCATTCAAAATTAGGGCAAATTTTATCGATGTTCTGATGAAGCAAAGCAGACGCCAGAAGAGTGCAAGTAAGTATCTGCATTTTTATCATTCTGCTATAAATTTTTATTGTGTTTGTTTAATTAAATAAGTTTCAAATGGAAGGATTGATGGCCGATCACCAGGCACCACATCCCAAACTTACTAATAGAAAGGGAAACATATGAACAAATGGGACTTTAAAGGTGCCGTTCAAACACATCCGATTAAAAGATTCTATAACAATAATTTGATAAAAAACATCAATATGGGCTTGCTTAAAGTGTTACTAAACCCCAGACCCTGCATTCACTATATCTGCTCTCCCACAGTACACAGAACATAGATATGCAATTATTTTAGTAAATATAAACTGCTAGATACCTTTTCTCATCAACAGTTAGAGCAGTCTTGTGACTTCTATCAGTGTCCTAAGGAGGCTTAGCCTCTGTGCATGCAGGCTTTGAGGAAGGGGCAAGTACCCGAAACACGTTAGCCTATTGGAGGTCCAGTGTTCCTGTGGGGATCACCGTAACAGGCAGACTGGTCATTGCTGTGTTTCATGATGAGTTTTTTTTTATCATTGTCGTTTGTGAGTATATCACCATTCGTTATTTTTATCAATACATTTATTTAGGTAATGCACTAGGCCGGTGCGCCCTCTATTTGTTTTCTTTACAGATAGTGTTTTGGACTTCCCAAGATATTGCAAGGCATGCAATATCCAGGATCTTCCACACGGATCCGTAGTTACACCGAGTTCACCCCCAAGCGCAGGAGTATTTGTGTTTAGTATTTGTATGGTATAAATTTGACAGGCTGGATATACCCAAGTCATACAACAATCGAATTGGGTGCAGTCAGCCCACCTATAGATGGTTTGAATCTCGGCCTGTCTCTGTTGACCCTGCCAAGATTCGAACCATCTATGGCTGGCTTTGTGGAAACATTACAGTAACACAATATGGGCGTATTGCAAAAAACACAATAAATTCTCTAAAGTAACACTGCATAAAATAAGTATGGCAAAATCCAATTTGTAAAATGCTTTTTTGTCTTTTTCTTCTAGGGGAAAATATATTGTCTACAAAGATGGAGATGTTAACAGCCCTTCTATTCGTGAGAGACACTGGCACAATAGTGACTTCAATTTCGACAATGTGCTGTCCGCCATGATGGCCCTTTTCACAGTCTCCACCTTTGAGGGATGGCCTGCGTATGTAGAATAATCCTCTTTGCAGCTCTGACATCACATGTTCTTTCGAATGATTGAAAATATTTTTTTTAACAAACCAGTCATAGTCCGCATTTCCCTCTCCTGTGTGTGCCCAATTACTTAACCCCTTCAAGGGTAAAACAAATATAAATGCCCAAGCACAATTTTGCAACGTTGATGTGTTAGTAAAACCATACATATCATCATAAATACTTTGTACATCCAGGTGAATTATACCTTGTTTTTTCAGGACAAATTGGGCTTTCATTTGGTGGTAAATGGTATGGATACCTCCTGATTTTTTGTTTTTATTATCAAAGGAAAACTGGCCCAAAATAGTAAAAAAAAAAAAATGTTTTTTTTAATTTAGCTGTGTGTTTCTTGTTACTACCATAACCTACCACCAAAGAACAACCCAAAATAAATTCTCCAGCTCTTGACGATTGAAGCGATACCATATATGTGTATGTTTTTTGTTGTTTGTACCTGTACTACATTCCAGAAACAACAGTTTTACCTAAAACACACAGACACTGACATTGACACTAACTGACACTGATACCAAATTTTTTTAAATCCTGACCTTTGACCCTGACCTTTTGACCTTGACATTTAACCCTGACCTTGACCCAAACACTAACCCTGGCACTGAACTAGATCAAACCTTGATCTAGGTATTTTTTCTTTATTTTTCCTTTTATTTTTTAATATTTATTTATCTTTTTTTCTTTCTTTTTTTTACAAACATTTTTTCCCCCCTCTATGCCAGGAGTTAGAGAGATACAATGTATCTCTCGCCTCCATTCATAGACAGAAAAAAAAAACAAGGGGACGGGCTGTACAGTGACTGATCACTGTGATAGCCAATCAGAGGCTATCCAGAGATCATGTGACCCGGATTCAGGAGTCCCGGGCCCCGATTGTTAGAACAGGACTCGGTGCTCTCAGTGACACCGCGTTCCTTGTGCTGTGAAAGCGCCGTGCGGTGCGCTCCCAGCACAAACACAGGTACACAAATACAGCCCCATGGAAAAAAGCCCAGTTCTGTGAGGCCGCATGTTTGTGTTACGTCAGCGTCAAGGGGTTAATAAAGGCTTAGCCCTTCTTAAACAATTAAAGAGTTTCTAGAATCTCTCTATGCTACTATAAGGGTCTATTTACACCACAAGCTGCGCAGATCACACGAGTGATGGTGAGCATTGGGAGGAACAGTGATACATCGCACTATTTAAATTTTTTTAGAACTTTATCGAAATTTCACAAATTACATTTTATTCAGTTCTATTTATTGCAGTGGCATTGCAATGCGGTAGTTTGCAGCACAATATGCTACACCGAAAAAAGTAGTACATGCATTGCTGTGGTGTGAACTGACTTCATAGAAAATGAAGCAAGCCGCCTTGCCTTTCCATTGGAACTGAACTGGGCAAGGCTACCCAGAACAGTCCAACACAAATGGTGTGAAGATTATATAATAAATTGACAGGCTGAAACTTTCTATTCATTTTATTTGCTTGCTAAACATTTCCCTCTGACTCAGCAGTGACTCTTTCGTTCTCATCTAACCTGCCACTGTCTGCGGCCTTCCCTGCATAATGTTACATCTGGGTGGTGGTACCCATCCTTATAGAATTATACCCACACACCCTTCAGTAGTAATACTTTTGTACATGACAACCCTGTAACTGCTACCAAAGGAACCGAAGAAGTAATGACTGTAGGAAACAGGGTCCTCTTGTGCTGCATTCCTTCTTCTGCCTGCCCTATATTTTGTTCATACAGTGCCTTGAAAAAAGTGCCTTGAAAAAGTGTTCATACCCCGTGAAATTTTCCACATTGTGTCATGTTACAACCAAAAATGTAAATGTACTTTGTTGGGATTGTATGTGATAGACCAACACAAAGTGGCACATAATTGTGAAGTGGAAGGAAAATGATAAATGGTTTTCAAATTTTTTTACAAATAAATCTGTGAAAAGTGTGGTAGTCATTTGTTTTCAGCCCCCCCCCGGAGTCAATACTTTGTAGAACCACCTTTCGCTGCAATTACAGCTGCAAGTCTTTTTGGGGATGTCTCTACCAGCTTTGCACATCTAGAGAGGGACATTTTTGCCCATTCTGTCTCGCAAAATAGCTCAAGCTCTGTCAGATTGGATGGAGAGCGTCTGTGAACAGCAATTTTCAAGTCTTGCCACAGATTCTCAATAGGATTTAGGTCTGGACTTCGACTGGGCCATTCTAACACAAGAATATGCTTTGCTGTAAACCATTCCATTGTATCTCTGGCTGTATGTTTCGGGTCGTTTTCCTACTGGTGAACCTCCACCCCAGTCTCAAGTCTTTTGCAGAGTAACAGGTTTTCTTCTAAGATTGCTCTGTATTTGCTCCATCCATTATCCCAATCACCATGGGGATGGTGTGTTCAGGGTGATGTGCAGTGTAAGTTTTCTGCCACAGGATGCGTTTTGCTTTTAGGCCAAAAAGTTAAATTTTGGTCTCATCTGACCAGAGCACCTTTCGTGCAACAATAGTTTTCTTCTTGCCACTCTTCCATAAAGGCCAGATTTATGGAGTACACGACTAATAGTTGTCCAGTAGACAGATTCTCCCACCTGAGCTGAGCTGTGGATCTCTGCAGCTCCTCCAGAGTTACCATGGACTTTATCCCTGATCTGTCTGGTGTGTTCCTTGGCCCTCATGATGCTGTTTGTTCACTAATGTTCTCTAACAAACCTCTGAGGGCTTCACAGAACAGCTGTATTTATACTGAGATTAAATTACACACAGGTGAACTCTATTTACAAATTAGGTGACTTCTGAAGGCAATTGGTTCCACAAGATTTTAGTTAGGGGTATCAGAGTGAAGGGGGCTGAATACAAATGCACCCCACACTTTTCAGATATTTATTTGTAAACAATTTTGAAAATAATTTATCATTTTCCTTCCCCTTCACAATTATGTGCCACTTTGTGTTGGTCTATCACATAAAATCCCAATAAAATACATTTACATTTTTGGTTGTAATATGACAAAATGTGTAAAATTTCAAGGGGTATGAATACTTTTTCAAGGGACTGTAAGGCATTGGACAGGCAATGACTTCATTAGGTATCACACAGCCTGTTTTAAGTACTGATACATAGTACATTATTGTGATGCCCAGTCTGTATGTGCATTATTGTTATTATACAGTATTTATATAGCGCCAAAAAATTTGCTCAGCGCTGTACATTGTAGTGGGGGACATTACATGAGACAATAAAGTAACAATACAATACACGAGGGGTTCGAGGGCCCTGTTCTTTGGAGCTTACAATCTAGGAGGGAGGGGATAGCGGTACAGGAGGAAATAGCTGTGGGGGATGGAGCGGTAGAAGGAGTGGAGGAGATCGGCTGTTAGGTGAGGGCGGGGTAGGCATCCCTGAAGAGATGGGTTTTCAGGGTGCGCCTAAAGGTGAGGAGGGTAGGTGACAGTCTGATGGATTGGGGTAGTGAGTTCCAGAGGATGGGGGAAGTCCTGGAGAAGTCCTGGAGTCGGGCATGGGAGGAGGAGACTAGGGAGCTAGAGAGTGGGAGGTCTTGTGAGGAGCAAAGAGTACGTGTTGGGTGGTATTTGGATATCAGGTCGGTGAGGTAGTTTGGGGCAGTATTATGAATAGCTTTGTATGTCCATTATGAAGATCTACCAATTGCTGCTCTTGTTGCTGTAACTGTGATGTCTCCTGCTAAGCTGTACAGAAAACTTGACTCTATCTGGCTGTTTTGAGCTATGAGGTTTTTTTATGCATTCGTTTTCATTAGTTACCTCTTGTGATGTGTCTTTTCTATTTAGACTTCTGTACAAGGCTATTGATTCCAATGGGGAAAACGTTGGGCCCATTTACAACAACCGAGTGGAGATCTCCATCTTTTTCATCATCTATATCATCATCATTGCTTTCTTCATGATGAACATATTTGTAGGTTTCGTTATCGTCACATTTCAAGAGCAAGGAGAAAAAGAGTACAAGAACTGTGAGCTGGATAAGAACCAGGTAAGAAGAGTGATCTTTTTTAAAAAAATGTCTGCCCAGTCTGTCTTCTTACGCCTGGTTCACACCAATGAATTTTTTAGTCCTTTTTGCAGAAACACACTACATGCCATTTAACAGATTCCTATGGGACACATTCACATCTATGCTGCCTTGTTGAAAAGGGCCAGGGACTTTTTTAAACGTCATAGTGTTAGAAGGGGGTTGGGAGCAGTTTTAAAGTATAGCTAAATGGAAAACATTTTTTTTTAGTTTTTGAAAGAGTGGAGTCGGATTAGAACACCTGTGAGGCTTTTATTGTTGTCTGTACCCCAGTTAGGGATGTTCCTCTTCATCTTCCCCATTAGCCCTGTTTACCATGATCAGTGAAAGCGAAAGTAAAAGAAAATCCCAAATTTAGAGTTGTCCCCAGAACAGGAATAGTGGGGAAATCATCCAGTGGAGACACTAGTTCCAGTGGCTGTGGTGACAACCAGGGATTCCCTCACTGAAAAGGTGATTTCCTCTCTTTTCCTGCTTTGGCTATGGGACAGAAAGCAAAAGGAAATCTCCCCAATTGGACAGGCATGGTAAAAATAAATCTTACAGAGGTCATGACCCTCCCTATCCAAAATAAAAAAAATAAGTTTTCCTTAAGCTCTACTTTAAGATTAGATAGTTTTAGCCCAGAATTTTACTTTAAATGTTAATGTAACACTGAAATGCAAGTGGGAAGCTCAATACATACGGTAATTGAAAATGATATATGTGAGCTGTTCTAACGTTAAAAGGATTTGTAATTCTGTGGAGCCATTCTTGAGGTTCCCTCACCTATGCTAGGATAGCTAGGTCCTCAACCTCTTTTTCCTCCGCTGCAGCCCACGTGGAAGAAAAATATATTTTAAATATATTTTTAAAATATTCTTCCCAAATATATTGCCATATATTTGAAATGCTACAATTTTAGCCATATTCAATATATTTCAAAATATATTTCAATAAATATATATATATATATATATATATATATATATATATATTTCTGCAAGTTGAAATGTGTTTTTATTACAAAATATATAAAAGATATTTGTAAAAATACATTTCAAATATACTGTATGTCTTTAAAAATACAAATCTACATTTTTGGAATGCATTTACAAATATAGGTAAACATATATATTAAAAATGACTTTTTTATATGTTAAAAAAATCTGAAGAATATATTTATAAAAAATTTATTTTTAAAAATATATATTTTTCAAATATATTCTTCAGATTTTTTTTAACATATAAATAAATAATTGTAACATATATTTTTACAAAAATTTTGTAAATGCATTCCAAAAATTTAGATTTGTATTTTTAAAGACATACAATATATTTGAAATGTATTTTTAAAAATATTTTTCATATATATTGTAATAAACATGCATTTCAACATGCAGTGTGTATATATATATATATATATATATATATATATATATATATAATATGGCCAAAATTGTATCATTTCAAATATATGGCAATATATTTGGGAAGAATATTTTTTTAAATATATTTAAAATATATTTTTCTTCCATATGGGTGTTAATGCAATTTTGATTGGTCAAGAAGCGTTGCAGCCTGTGATTGGACAGTGAAGAGGCATCACCATGTACATGAGCTAATCCCTATACTGTTATCAACAAGCTCTTTGGCTTAGATTGACAGCATTGTGCAGTGCAGCAGAGTCTACCCCCTCCTCTCCTAGTCTGAGTGTTGCTGTACAGGTAATTACAAGTGGCTAATATACATTAAAGACATATTAACGTTTCTTATTGTAGGAAGAGTATGTTTTTCAGCTGTTCTATTGCTCTTTCAATATCATATTTCAGCAAAATGGTAAGAAAACTTTAGGATTACATTGGGTTTATGTCCACTTTAAGGCAAGAGGGTAGATTATGGCGAGTGTCTACTAACGACATGATAGAAATAGAAAGTTCTGTTTTCCCTATTATCTTCCAGCCTATAAAATGTAACCTTTAGACATTTAAAACAAATAAAGCTCATAAAATATGTTGTGATGGTTTCATGTAATAAAATTTTATTTGTTGCATATTACAGAGGCAGTGCGTGGAATATGCTTTGAAAGCTCGTCCATTGAGAAGATACATTCCCAAAAACCCTTATCAGTATAAATTCTGGTATGTTGTCAACTCCACGGGATTTGAGTACATCATGTTTGTCCTCATCATGCTGAATACACTGTGCTTAGCCATGCAGGTAAGTAAGAAGCTTGGTATTTTTTTAAAAGCGAATGTAAAGTGTTATTTTGTATGATTTTCTATATGGTTATTATGTTTAGTAAAAAAAACAACAACAATATTTTGTTTTTATTATATTTTTATATTATACATTTTTATAACATGCAGTCAGCAGGTGGTAAACAGGTGCTCTATATTATCTGAGGGCTCTTTTATTCCTAAATGACTCACAAGAGGGACATTTCCCCTCTCTTTCTTTTACAGATGAATAGCTTAAATTAGTTGAAGACAAGTATGCATGCAGTACAGCATCCTTGTGTCTGAGTGTAATGAATGCAACATGGTGTTTATTAAATGTTTATGCAAATAATAAAAACGATTGCTTGCGCTATAGTCTGTAAACCTGTAAATGTTCAAAAGAAAAATAGACCTAATATATTTTTGTTTTTATCACGCCCTTATCAGCAGTCCAATGTTTTCATCACATACCTTATTTTAGACAATTATTACTGGGTCTCTATGCTTTATGCTTTTTTATGGAAAGCAGGCTGACCACAGCTGGTGGGAGGTACCTACAGGGTACCAGGTGTGGACTGACAACTCATAGGGCAATAGGGGATCATGGGGCCCCTGTGTCCTTGCCCAAACTAAAAAAAGCCTATAAAAAAGGTACCAGGGGCATCTCATGGGGCCCCCTACTGACCCCGGGCCATCGGGCAGTGCCCGAGTTTCCAAATGGTCAGTCCGCCCCTGCAGGGTACTGTACATAGTCTCCTTAAAACATCACAGCCACATGCCTCACTACTTCTCTTAAGAGCCCTCAGTTGTGATGCAAGTAGTAGGATAGCTCTTTAGAGGGTTAATGCAAGTATTAAAATACCTTGATGGGTGGGTGTCAGTTCAGAGGAGCGGGCAAGTAAACTACCTCAGGTAATGTCTACATTTGACATAGATACAACACCGTCTGAGCTCGGGGACCCAGATCAGTAGAGGACCAATGTGAATTATGATATATAGAAGAAGTTGTTCCTCCAGGACCGATCAAAGGTTGTGCAGCTCTAATACAAAGCTGGGGAAGATCGATATAAACTGTAGTAAAGAACAAAAAACAGAGCGCACCAACCTTGCGCATTACCTCAGTAAGCAGTTAGTAGATTTATTAATATAAGAAATATACTCCCAGGAGTAGCAATAAAACAGGCATATCAAATCTCAAAAACGAATCCCTGAGTTAGGAGACGTGCAAATCCCATCAGGAGGGGAGACTCTCAGGATAAACCTGACGCGTTTCGAAGGGGTATGCCTTCTTCATCAGAGCTAATCAGACTGAGAGAGCCCTCCTCAATAAATAGTCCACATCTATGTGTGAGCCTTCCCAAATGGGCAGTACACAACGCCCATAGGAACTAGGACCAACATGTCACAATAAAGACGTATACACAGAAATTCACTGTTGATATGTGAATACAGATAAAAACAAGCGGATGACATTCTGTGCGTATGCTAGAACCATAGCTAGTAGATTCATTGATTGGCGAAAACATGATCATTATTCAATATGAAAGGCGTATGTACATCCAGAGACATAAATGGAAAAGCAGTGCCCAGTCAAAGGTTATCATCACAATTAAAAAGATAAATAAATAAATGACCAAAATACAGCATTACCTTAAAATCTGAATAAACTCATAAAATGTCTTGTATGGCGGTATCTGTTATTGGCAAAATGGTCTTAGGATGGTCTCATCAATGCCTTTTCTCTATTAACTCTATTTTATATTAGACCACTTTTTTTAGGAGCCGTTCTAGTGGCCTGTGCTAGTCAATTGGTCAGATTTGCAAAATGGCAATAGAAGAAGGAATTTGTACTGCAGAGCTTGTTCAGGTGGCGGTGGAATGTACGGTGGCAACTATCACCCATGTGCGTATGCGCAATGTGTTCCAGCCGCCATTATGGTGAAGTAAACCTCGCAAAGGGAAGCGGCCAATTGCAGCGCCTGCGCACTGCACTCTGTTATTCCAAAAACCGTTTACCAGACCACTCACATTTCTCATGATCATAAACAGCGTTTAATTGCTTTTAGAGCTGCCACAGAATCACAGGTTCCACATTGTTTGAAGCCGAGACCTCACAGCCTGATCCAACAGCAGGATGACAGGATACAGGATACACCATTCAACAATGAACCAAGATGGCCGCCATCTTGGTTCATAGCTCTAAAAGCAATTAAACGCTGTTTATGATCATGAGAAATGTGAATGGTCTGGTAAACGGTTTTTGGTATAACACAGTTTATAAGCAGTATTACACTATTGGCATTTCTTTTCCCTGCACTGCTGTGGAGCTGGAGAGAGGAAAAGGCAGGAGCGAGTGGAGGAATATCTTATACTTTGTGGTGGAAAGGAATCCTGGAGGTCTTAAAGGGGGTCTAGGAGCCCATAATAATCCTAAAAGGCGCAACACTCACCAACATCTGGTGAGTGCGGTAGATGTTGTTTTTTTCACTCGTGGATGGTGGAAGTATTTCTGGCACTGGGGAGAAAAGATTTTATCTTTTCATTTGGACTTTATATATTTTGTGGACACTTTATTATGGGCAACACATTAATTACTTAATTGTTTTGGAATATTCACATATTAATATTTTTGGTCACAATTACTTTATGTATAATTTTATTGAGGTGTGATCTGCGCTGATTATTGTTTTTTTCTGTTTTGGTTTGTTTGACCTGTGTGCAGCAGCAATTCACAATCTTGGTTTATTATTGTTTTTTAAGGGGTGGTCCTGTGCGCTGGGGTTTTTTTTTTTTTTATATTAAGAATACTAATTGTTTATCGTCTATCACATGGGTGAAAGAAATAGCATAGGGGTTATTCTCACAATGGTTCAGAAAACCTTCTAGCTGGAGATCAGTGCCATTCCAAATGATTATAATGTCATCTATGTAGCGAGCATACAAAATGAGATTTTTGCTGTAGGGATTGTTGGCTCAAATATAGTGGTTTTCCCAATAGCCATAAAAAGGTTCGCATATCTGGGAGCAAATCTGGTTCCCATAGCTGTGCCTTGGACTTGTCTATAGTGGGTGTCCAAAAATGAAAAGTGGTTGTGTTTTAGGGCAAATTCTAAACAAGTATAGAGAAATTGGGCTTGTGTGTAGTGGAATGTCTTTGGCTAATAAATACTGTATCGCTCTAAGGTCATATTCATGCTTGATGGAAGTGTAGAGAGACACTACATCCAAAGATAACCAACTATATCCCTGTTGCCACGTATACTCAGATGGTATCTCAAGTATATGGTTGGAGTCTTCTTTAGATAGGATGGAAGGTTGACCACGATCTTTCAAGTATTAGTTGATATAGCTACCAAGATTGCTGGTAAGACTAGCAATACCTGCAATAATTGGTCTGGCGGGGGGATTTTCTTTACCTTTGTGGATTTTAGGGATGGCTCACACATAGGATGTGGAGTATTTATTGAGGAGGGCTCTCTCAGTCTGGTTAGCTCTGATGAAGAAGGGATCCCCCTTCGAAACGTGTCAGCTTCATCCTGAGAGTCTCCCCTCCTGATAGGATTTTCATGTGTCTCCTAACCCAGGGACTCCTTTTTGGGATTTGATTTGCCTGTTTTATTGCTACTCTTGTGAGTATATTTCTTATATTAATAAATCTACTAACTGCTTACTGAGGTAATGCGCAAGGTTAGTGCGCTCTGTTTTTTGTTCTTTACTATGTCTGCATTTGATTCTGAACCTCAAAAAATGAAATCTGGGGAGGAGAGTGGTAGATGATGCTGGATGTCCTCCAGCCAGGAAATCAGGTGGGCTCTATATAAGTTGCAGCAGCTTCTAACGCACACTGTGAGAGACTCAAACAGAACAGTGAAATCAGACTTAGCTACAGGAGAAAAGCCTGTACAACTGGCCAAGATTGAAGGTAAGGCAGGAGTTCAGCTTTAAGGAACAGCACAACCTAAACCTATAAACCATACCTTTACAGTTTGATGATAACATTTCATCCTGCAATGACATTCAGTGCTCACTTTTTTAGTGACAAACTTTTCTTCTTGTTTGATTTTATATTCCAGCATTACGGACAATCAAAAATATTTAATGATGTCATGGATGTGATGAACATGGTCTTCACTGCTGTGTTTACTGTAGAAATGGTTCTGAAACTCATAGCTTTCAAGCCCAAGGTAAGTGCTAAATCATTAGATGTGACAGATATGACAATTACACTTAAATGTGATAAAACTGAGATTACCTGCTACATCCGATATTATCACTGAATGATTACAGTTTCTATAGAATCAATATCATTGTCAAAAAGTAGTAAAATTTCCCATTAAATGCCCAGTCATTAAAAGACAAGTATTGGATCCTTTTTTTTTTTCTTTTAATCACACTTACCTAGGTGGATGCAGCATCGATCCAATGCTGCATATGTCCCCTGCTGGCTCCAAGGCAGAGAAATGAGTAATCAAGAAAACGCTGTTTGCTCAGTTCTCCCTGCCGCTCTGAGTGGAAAGCCAGGACTGTCAGTCTCCGACTGTTCTTCCGCCCCCTAGCGCTGGGCTGCAGCTGGCTCAGTCTCTCTCCAGGCTCCTGGGTGGGTCTCCACCTTATAGTCAAAACTTTCCCCAGCCTGGACCGGACCTGTGACATCAGCCAACAGTAGGCTTTGGCCCCCTGTCAGCCGAAAACAGGTCACAGGAGTACAGAAGCTCCACTCCTGTGATCCACAGGAGGAGTACAGCCAAATACACTTTTAAATTACATATGGATAAACCTGTAAGCTGTCTAAACATGGTTTGTTTTTTGTTGTCCAGCCACCTGGCTGAATGAAAAAAAACTGACCTGATTCCTCCATCCACACACTTAAGGTGGATGTGGGAATCCTCCCCTCCACATCATTGTATTCTGACAGTGAGACTCCCCTGTCATCAGAATACACTGATCATTGTTGCAGCCTATTGGCTTTCCAACCATCCAGTTCATGAGAACTTGATTGATAGATTTTACTGAACCGTTCAAATTTTGATCCATGTATAGCCAGTTTTAAATGACTTTTATTATTATAATGTAGCCACGTTAGCTTATATAATCTCACTTTGAGATTTGTGAAGTGTCACAGCTATTTTATTTTAGGCAAGACAAAAGCAATGATGTGCAAGGTGCATTAACACATAGCAACCAGTATGATTCGAAGGATGGGTACAATTTTAAGGGCCCTTCCACACAACTTTGCATGTAATAACAAGTTATAACGAGTTACTTCAGTGCAATCCAAGGTAATCTAATATAGATGTGCATTGCAGTACAACATTAATTGCACCACAACGCACATCTGCAGTGCACAGCTATGCACAGATACTGTACATATGCTTTGTGTGTTGTGCTGTGATCAAAAAAATGCATTGAGGTGCATTGGCAGTCATATTAGGCTGGGTTCACACTGATGCAGTGCTGTACATCGCATGTGATTCGTACAGGAACCGTACCGCATTCCTGTGAAAATCACATGCGATTTGTGTGCGGTGCGATTGGAACCATACATTTTGGCTCCAATTGCACCGCACCTCCACCAAAAAGGTGCAGGACCCTTTTTTGGGTCTGCACTAGAATCAGATCACAATGGTATTCACACCACCTATGCAATCCGATTCTGCACATCGCACCGCATTTTGCAGACTCATTTCGGGGTGTTATTAACTTAACATTCACACCCGCATCGGTTCGCATGAACGGCGTGCGTTTCTGATGTGGTGCAGAATTCGCACAGAAAACACTGCAAATTCTGCACCGCATCAGTGTGAACTGTTAAGTGGGCTTCTTAACGCAACACACACTTTGCAGTTCCATGTGTCATGGTGTGACTGAACCTTAAGCACTGCCTGTCCGGCCCATGTATATAAACGGCCGGACGGGAGCAGTACAGGAGCGGGTGGCCATTTCTAAACGTCCTCCCGCCTCCCTGCGCTCCCTAGGAGTGCGCGTCACTGCAATCCGGTGCCCTCTGTGTCCAGAGGGCACCGATCGCTGAATGGGACCTCTGTGTGAGGTCCCGATCATGTGATCACTGATTGGGCAATCAGTGATCACATGAATAGTAGTAAGCAAGATGTCACTTCTGACATCATTGCTTACTACTTGTGAAATCTGTGAATGATCACAGAGGTCACAATGGTACAAGGCTATTCACAACAGCCTTGTACCATGTGACAATTTGTGACCAATCACAGCTCGTACAGTATTTCTCAATGGCTGCAAGAATGCTGTCAGAGAGAAGGAGAAATTATTGCTTTTACAGCCTTTATTGGTGTAAAAGCAATCAGTGTACAGAAAAAAAAATCTTTATCACCCCCCACAAGTAGTACAGTGTCACTATGGTGACACTGTACTGCTAGGGTGATGGTATGTTAAAGAAAAACACACATAAATAATAATATAAAAAAATAAAAATAAAAATATAAAGAAAAAGTTTGACAAATTATAATTTTTGGTTATAAACTAATTTGGACTTTTTTTTTTTACTAAAAAGATTGCTGAATACATTTTGGCCAAGATTTATGAAGAAAGATTATTTTTTTGCAAAATGTTATAAGAAAACACTTTTTTTTCCAAATGTTTGGACTTTTTCATTTATATAGCAAAAAAATAAAAATCCCAGTGGTGAATAAATACCACCAAAATAAAGTTTTATCTGTCTCAAAAAAATGCTAAAAAATTCATATGGGTACAGTGTTGCATGACCGCACAATTGTCATTCAAAGTGTGGTTAAAAGAAAAATGTACTTAGCAGCTGAAAAGAAAGCCTATACTGATCTCTCTTTCTGAAAAAGCTAGCAGCGTAGTTGTCATGCTGTAAATCTAGCAGCGTGGTTGTCATGCTGTAAAGCTAGCAGCGTAGTTGTCATGCTGTAAAGCTAGCAGCGTGGCTGTAATGCTGTAAAGCTAGCAGCGTGGTTGTCATGCTGTAAATCTAGCAGCGTGGTTGTCATGCTGTAAATCTAGCAGCGTGGTTGTCATGGTGTAAAGCTAGCAGCGTGGTTGTCATGCTGTAAAGCTAGCAGCGTGGTTGTCATGGTGTAAAGCTAGCAGCGTGGTTGTCATGCTGTAAAGCTAGCAGCGTGGTTGTCATGGTGTAAAGCTAGCAGCGTGGTTGTCATGGTGTAAAGCTAGCAGCGTGGTTGTCATGCTGTAAAGTTAGCAGCGTGGTTGTCATGGTGTAAAGCTAGCAGCGTGGTTGTCATGCTGTAAAGCTAGCAGCGTGGTTGTCATGGTGTAAAGCTAGCAGCGTGGTTGTCATGCTGTAAAGTTAGCAGCGTGGTTGTCATGCTGTAAAGCTAGCAGCGTGGTTGTCATGCTGTAAAGCTAGCAGCGTGGTTGTCATGGTGTAAAGCTAGCAGCGTGGTTGTCATGGTGTAAAGCTAGCAGCGTGGTTGTCATGCTGTAAAGCTAGCAGCGTGGTTGTCATGCTGTAAAGCTAGCAGCGTGGTTGTCATGCTGTAAAGCTAGCAGCGTGGTTGTCATGCTGTAAAGCTAGCAGCGTGGTTGTCATGCTGTAAAGCTAGCAGCGTGGTTGTCATGGTGTAAAGCTAGCAGCGTGGTTGTCATGGTGTAAAGCTAGCAGCGTGTTTGTCATGCTGTTATGGTGGCTTCAGTCATTTCTGCCGCTGATCTGAGAAAAGTATGTAGATGAGAAGTTCTGATTTAACTCCGAGTTACTAATCTGCATTCATTTTCCATATCAGTGACTTCCATAGACAGCTCTTTGCCTCTTTTTAAGTGCCAACCCCTACAATGGCAGGAGCCAGTGTAAGCATTGCACTTCCCTCCTACAACCTCTGCATTGGAATTGGGGATTTCTTCCAGTAGAAAGTAAAGGGATGCTTTAACTGTTGTGCTCCTGGATTATTTTTTAACATTTACTTTTTCCTAGTTTACTAGAAGCATATCAATTAAGTAAATATTACTAATTTGTTGCTATGGGTTAACGCGCTCTCACATCTGCTTCAATGTCGCAAAATATCACCCACATCATTAAAGGAGACTGCAATAAAAAAATGGAATCTGTTATCTTAGGGTCCTGACACTTCATTACCTTTATGCTAATTCCAGTTCAGTGGTTTAGTAAATAATGTATGCAGAATCTGGTGCTTCATCACATGCAAAAAACAAGTCAATATTGGGAGTTTCCATGTTTTTATAGTGTTAGGTTCCCTTTAAGTAGATATTGGTTTTACTTACAAAAATAAAGATGGCCATCATAAAGTAAATTCTCCTTTACCAATTTATTAAATCCAGGGTTAGCTGAATCAGAAAACTATTTTTAAAAAATTACACTTAATACTGTTAATCCCAGTAACCCTGCCCTTTAAAGTGGTTGTAAACCCTTACATATATATGCAGTGAAGTGGCTGGCCTCGGGTGATAAACAGAGATGAAACAAATCCTCCTACATAAGTTGTACCTATTTAGCTGAAGTCTTCTCTTCCCTACAGCCATTCAAAATGCTGAATTTATAAAGCTTGTCTGAGAGTACAGAAAAAGGGGGCGGAGAGCTGAGATTACACTCTGCAGAGCTCAGTGACACAGCACACAGGAACAGGGATGAGGCTGTCAATCTGCTGGAGGTCCCTCCCCTGTCACCATTCTTCTCTTGGTGTCAGGAAAACTTGTCAGAAGTGACTCATGCTGATAGCAGAAGAATGATGCAGCAGACAGAAATGTCACTTAGTGCTCCTAACTGAGACAAGTACACACCAGGGGCAGACTGACAACTCATGGGGCCCCCGGGCAATAGGGGATCATGGGGCCCCTGTGTCCTTGCCCAAACTCAAAAAAGCCTATGAAAAAGGTACCAGGGGCATCTCATGGGGCCCCCACTGACCCCGAGCCCTCGGGCAGTGCCTGAGTTTCCAAATGGTCAGTCCACCCCTGGTACACACTATAGAGGGATATGCGTTGTTCATATTTCATGTCTGAGGTTTACAACCACTTTAAAATAGTTCTAATGTCTCTCTGAATTAAAGTAAAAAACAACCTAATCTACCAATCCCATCCCTATATATACTTACCTGGCTCTTCTCGCCACTCCAGCGCTGTCCCAGCTGCAGCTCCTCTCCCCTCACTTCCTGGTCTCACAGGAGACACTGAGAGCCTATGGCTCCTGCTGCTGTCATACTCCTGCGAGGAAGGAGCAGCGGCGTGGCTTAACGGCACTCTGGGTGTCTATGGACACACACAGCCCGGCTCCATATGGGTGCCTCCATAGCACCTGGCTTGCTAAGGAGACACCTGAAGGAAGCAGGTGTGTCAGGGACTGCTAGAACAGCAGTTTAGGAACCGCTTTGTGCAATGTTGTTTCACAAAGCAGGTAAATATAACATCTTTTTATTTTAATTAAAAAAATACCTTTAGTGTCGCTTTAAGTTAGTAACATTGTTTAGTATGCATCAAATGACCTTCTGTTTGCATATTATCTGGTAGATTTGTGTGGCCAAAAAAAAAACGTTGGCTCGTAAGTGACAAGTGGTTGCTGTGTAAACCTTTTTCCACAAATGCATGATAAGGATGAACTTGCTGTGACTTGTCCATATGACATTTCCCCTTGTCTTGCCAGAACTGTCATGGCTAGTGCTTTCTGTGGCATTGTTATTGTCATGTGACCAATATTGCTGGGAAGTGGCTGATTGACTAAGAATGCTTTCAACAAAATATAATGTATATATACATATAGAGAACAGTACACATGTTGTTTATTTGCCAAGTTTGTGCTAAATATATTTGGAAGGCCCCAACTATCCAGATTGTGTGATCATTTTAACAAATGATTGTAAGCTAGAACAGTTATCTACAGTCATTTGCTAGCAACTCATGTCCAGTAATGTATTTTTGTTCTGGCTGTGTGTATAGCTCAAGAAGTAAAAGTGACACCCCTTTCACACGGGCTTTCTGTTTTTTTTTTTCATCAGTTCTGACATGTTTTTTTCCAAGAAAAAACTGATCAGTTCACATCAGTTTACGTCAGTTTTCATCAGTTTACATCTGTTTTTATCCGTTTACATCGGTTTTAATCCATGTACATCTTTTTTGTCGGTTTGCATCTGTTTTCATCCGTTATTTGTCTATTTACATCCATTTTTGTCCTTTTACACCCGTTTTTCATCTGTTTACATCTTTTTTCATCCGTTTTACATCTTTTTTCATCCATTTACATCCTTTTGTTGTTGGTTTGCATCTGTTTTCATCCGTTTTTTGTCTGTTTACATCCATTTTTGTCCTTTTACATCTGTTTTCATCCCTTTACATCCATGTTCATCCGTTTACATCCTTTTTTTGATGGTTTACATCTGTTTTCATCCGTTTTTTGTCTGTTTACATCCATTTTTGTCCTTTTACACCTGTTTTTCATCCATTTACATCTTTTATAATCTGTTTACATCCTTTTTTGTCGGTTTGCATCAGTTTTCATCCTTTATTTGCCTGTTTACATCCATTTTGTCCGTTTACATCTGTTTTTCATCCGTTTACATCTTTTTTCATCCATTTACATCCTTTTTTTGTTGGTTTGCATCTTTTTTCATCCGTTTTTTTTTTTTTTTTGTCTGTTTTCATCCATTTTTGTCCTTTTACATCTGTTGTTCATCCCTTTACATCCATGTTCATCCGTTTACATCCTTTTTTTGATGGTTTGCATCTGTTTTCATCCATTTTTGTCCTTTTACATCCGTTTTTCATCCGTTTACATCCATTTTCATATGTTTACATCCGTTTACATCCTTTTTTTTGTTGGTTTGCATCTGTTTTCATCCGGTTTTTGTGTCTGTTTACATCCATTTTTGTCCTTTTACATGTTTTTCATCCGTTTACATCCATTTTCATCCATTTACATCCTTTTTTTGTTAGTTTGCATCTGTTTTCACCCATTTTTTTGTCTGTTTTCATCCATTGTTGTCCTTTTACATCCATTTTTCATCCATTTACATCCTTTTTTGTCTGTTTTCATCCTTTTTTTTTGTCTGTTTACGTCCATTTTTGTCCATTTACTTCCGTTTTTCATCCATTTCGGTTTTTTTAACAGAAGAAAAATAGGGTTTTCGTCTGCTAAAAAAAACGGATGTTAATGGATACGGACGTTAATGGATGTAAACAGATTATCATCCATTTACATCCTCTAGACCATAGAAATACATGGGTGACCGTTTTTCATCCATAAACGGACAGATGGAAAATGGACATACAGAATGCCTGTGTCAAGAGGGCCTTAGAATTACAACACAAGGCTTGATAGCTGTTGCAGTACTACTTGTTACCAGCAGGTGGCAGTATTCTACAACTATTATTAGAGAGTACACTCTAGGTCCCTTCTTACAGAGATAGTGATCGCAATTCAAAGCCCAAGATTAATATAAAATGTAAGCAGTTTTATTTTAATAAGTGCTTACAGCATATGTGTTTTATGCATGCTTACAAAAATTAAAATGCCATACTGTTAAAGGGGACCTATGATGCAACACCCCCACAAAAAATCTAAATACTTATACATTTCATTACAAATGTCAAATGCAAAATTATTTTCTCCATCCCCTTTGTATAATTTGCCATCACGGGGGGTATTGCATTCAACTGCATATGATGATTTAGAGCCAATCAGGATTCTGGAATGAATTCTGGGAAATATTACCAGTGCCCAGTCCGATTTCTTGGAGGAAGAGTGAGCATGCTCTGTGCCAGTATAAGGGCTGTTCACAGTCTCATGAATGCTTGTAACTTTTTGGCAACTTCATGGACATGAAAAAGGTGAATGAAAGAAAGTGTTCGCAGCTGAAATGCAACGTGACACATATTCATGTATATGGCCTCTTAGGGCATGGCTTTAAAATGCTGTCCTGTGTAGAGGATAAGTCCTCTTTAGAGGACAAGTCCCATAGACTTGGGAATCTATGGCATTCTGAAAACATGGTAGTACTTGATGTATGCCAAAAGCAGTATTTTTTCTAATTATTTCCCTTACAAAATTACAAATTATAAATATGTATTTATGAGTAGAAATAGGAGTTGTTTTTGGAAAGATACGATCACATCTATATTGGAGAAAACCAAAGTAGCGCTGGACATCATCCTGTTTTTCAGCTTGTCCTAGTTTTCTGCATGCTCCCCATTTTCAACTGGACAAACCAGCGGACCACTTCACAGACAATATGGATGTTTTTATCTTTGTGTTTGTGTGCTTTGTCCACGGTGTGTGGCTGTATGTACCTGTCTTGTGAAATGTTAATTGCCTCCATTTGCCCCCTCCTTGATCGCTGTGTGCAGGGTTATTTTAGTGATGCCTGGAATACCTTTGACTCCCTCATCGTTATCGGCAGCATAGTAGACGTTGTCCTCAGTGAAGCTGATGTAAGTAATTATCCTGTCCCTATCTGAATGTCTTCCTTCTCTGTGTCTCCTGCTGCATCCCATCACCTGGACAAGTCACAGATATATATAAGACTTTACTTACCTTGGATCTTCTATGGGACTTTCATATGAGAACCATTCTAAGAATGTATTCAATTAATTCCTTTTCTATAGTTTTTCATACATGAGGCCCATAGTAGAACCTTTGGAGGATCCTTTGAATCTTTGGAGGATTTCAGTAGGACACAACTAATGATACCTGGCAAAGAAATGAAGTGCTCTCACAAAGCTATGAGGCTATACCTCAGAATCTGATTCAGAGTGTCTTTTGTGGGAACTATTTACTGTGTGATTAATCAAGATTTGATGTCTGTTTTCTTTTGTTAGAATGTCGGCCCTCCTTATACTCTGATATTTCAGTTTTTTGATAGATTTTTGATAGATGGTGGTTTGAATGAACTACTTAACATCTTATGTTTAAAAGGTTACCCAGTGGTGAGTTCTCTACTCTGCCCACCTGCTGCTGGCATTACAGGGACACTTATTTTTTTTTCTCTTGGGCCTGATAAAGTTTAGATTGTAAAAATGTTCCAGGAAGATGGAGATTCCATGGTTGAAAAAGCACATGGCCATTTAAGTCAAAGAAAGATAGCATCAACCCATATCTGGTAGTGGGAGGACAGGTGGAGGCTGGTGGGCTGAGTCAGCTCCCAGTTTCATAGAAGAGCTAATAGGACTTACTGGGGTTGATTAAGCCCTGATTCACATATGTGCATTCCTGCGGGCTGCGTTTTGCGCGGACACGAGAGCCCATTCATTGGAATGGACTCCTGTGCCCCGGGACACGCAGGGAAGTAGTCCCTGCACTTCTTCTGAAAACACAGTCCACCCGGGAACTTCGGTTTCCAGTATGGTTGCGATTTCCAGTGTCGGCGGCGTGCCATTAGAATTAATGGCACACGCCTGCGGGTCCGCATTCTTCTGTGCGGGTGGTGCGGATGCGCGGATTTTTGTGCGTATCCACAGAGGCACCACCCGCACATATGTGAACCTAGCCTTACTAAAGGCAAACAGCCTGTTCTCTTTGCAAGGAAATTTTCCCAAGAACCCGTGTAAAGTTTCACATTTCTAAGGATTCACAAGCATATGCAAAGAAAAAAACTGCATTTTTGTTTGCACATAATTGGATAATGGAAGAGCCTCATCTCATTCACTAAGCTCTGGGGTAAATTTGTTTGCAAAGTGAGCAGCCTACTTTCCTTTAGCATATCAACCCTACTGTCTCAATCCCTGTGGCAAGTTGGAACTATTGATTTTGGGATTGGTGTAGTAAAATGGGGGACATTAGTTAGGTCATCAGGTGGACATCCTCCTTTTTTGACATTTCTTTGAAGAGCCTACTACATCTCAAAAGGGTTCAGTGGTTTTACTTGTCAACCCCCCTGGCTGTCTTTCATTTTGGATACTCCAAATTTCCCGGCCATATTTGTTTACTCTGTTTCTACCAAAATAACTAATACAAAATAGGAGGTGAGACCCCACATAATGGGACAGCAGGTGTGCAGACCCAGGAAGCTCATAGACCTTAACAAGTAGACACCTTCAAAGATTAAACTATCAAGTGGTCTAATTTTCTATTATATGTCAAAACCTGAGATAATGGTTTTGGGTGGACTGAACCTCTAATAACATAGAACAATGATACAAATCTCAATAACCAAAAAAACTACTTTCCAAACCTGGTTATACTATTATACTTGAGTTCTCTTTAGCCTACTATTTATTAAAGGTTATTTTCTATCAAGCTAAATGAGGTGTAGCCCCTCCTGTCATTTCTCTATCTTCTTATTTCTCTCTTGTCTTGTTCTGTCCTTACTTGTTACTAACAGCACTATTTCACTGACGCTTGGAACACTTTTGATGCCTTAATTGTTGTCGGTAGCGTCGTAGATATTGCTATTACAGAAGTAAATGTAAGTAAATAGTTCTAATAAGTAAACGTTCTGTCTTGTATATCCATGCTGTTCCCCAGTTTAATTATGTTTGTTCATTTTCAAAGAGCTTTGAGCCCCTGGCTAGATACACACATATTTTGCTTTCACTGGTCACACACACATATTAATATGATGGATACAATTATCATATTTTTTTTTCTTTTACTTTTTTAAAAATTGCTATGACAAGCTGTCATTTAGATTCCTTTTGAGTGATCATATTGAAAATAAAGCTATTTTTCTTTGTTCAATTAAGCATTTAAATTGTAGATCAGATGAACCTTTTCAGCTGATAGAATTTTCCATTTATTTATATTTATGCGTCGCTTCCAATGAAATAAAAACCTGTGTTTGAGAGCATTAAAGGCATAAAAAATGGAACTGTATGTGTCTAGTCAAAATATCTTTTTGAAGAATCTATCTATTTAAAAGATCACATAAAAAAATTGATCATGGAAAAATGGTCGCCTGTGTGGCCAGCAAAGATCTGGCCTGTTAGATCTGCAGAGTTTACAAATGCTTATGTATAATGACTGCCTGCTGGACTGGACATGTATACAATGGTTTGTATCAGTTAGCCCTCACATTACCTAACATATCCAGTGAAAAAGTTTTGAATTTAGGGCAGACTGTAAGGCCCCCTTCACACCAGACTGTTCTGTTGAGGTGAATTGATGCTCATGCAATATGCTGTATGTTAATGGTCAACTGGGATACAGACCTATTTTTTTTTATATTTCTGTCTTTGCTGCTTTTGGAGAGTTCCCCTATTGCTTGTCTGGTATAATGTCTGCAGGAAAGGAAGCAATGAGAAAACTATATACATGAGATCCAGAAAGCAGTAAAACCCAACAGGCTTTTTAACCCTTCCCCATGCTATCCAAAACTAAGAAAACATTTTTGGATGGAAATATACCTTAGGGCAGCATAAAAAATTGCTCATGGTGGCTTGTATGGCACAAGAGTTTATGGACATTTGCTTTTATAAGCGTTTTTTTTTTTTCCCCCAAAAGTTGATCCCTGCTCATTTTTGCTAAAATCGATGTTTACATTCAGGCGTTTTTTGAGCTCTAAAATTACTCTTCAGAATTCGACTTTGGAGGGGTTTTATTTTCTGTCTCCAAATTCCCTGCCACTAAACACCTATAGTGTGCCTAGACACATAGGTTAGAGGGAGTTTAGAGGCAGGGAGAAAAAAAAAAAAAAAGCTCAAACACCTGTAGAAGCAGCTTTTTTTTTAGCTGCAGTGTGCATGAGCCTGAAATCTGTTTGGTAGCTGCGAAAATGTAATCATCTTCATTTTCTCACCTGCCACTGTTGTGTAGATTTTGCTTTGACGTTGAACTTGATAAAAATGAGTGCTACGTGTGAGGGTCTATGTACTGTAGTCACTTTGTCAGTACCAGTCTTGACTCAATAAACTTTGCACCCCTACTATCACTATATATTTGTATTATCCCTAAAATACATCTCACCAAAGATTAATTGCATCAGACCTCTGGGCAGAATTTAAATATGACTTGTGGCTGTAATTGGTCACAGTGATTACATGGTATAGACAGGGTCAATCACAACCCATCTGTACCATGTGATTAGTTGTGGCTAATCACAAAAATGCACACTGAATGAATCAATTTCATTCAGTAAAAATGGTTGCTTATAACAGTGAAATGCACTGGTATAAGCAATCATAATGTATAAAAAAAAAATCCTGATTACTTCCCCAGTGTAGTACAATGTTACTTTGGTAACACTATATTGCTCTGGTCACAGTGTGTTAAAAAAATGTAATAAAAAAGAAGAAAAATTATTAATCATTTTTGCTACATACTGTCACTAGTAAGTGTCCCTGATCAACGCCAAACCAGGTATATGACGATGCTGTACTGCACTGGTGACAGCATGTAAAAAAAAAAAATTGTGAATTTTTTTTTTAATTTCTTTATTTTACAAACAGTTATGACAAAAAAAAATTACAACTTTAAAAAACTCACCATGCCTCTTACTAAATACCTTGAGCTGTCTACGTTGCAAAAAGGGCCTGGGCAGGAAGGGGGCGAAAGTGCCCGGTATTGAAGTGGTTAAAAGTGGATATCATATTGAAATGCCAGTGAGGGGCTATGAACAGTATGCTTTAGTACTGAGCCAGGAGTGTAGAAGTAATTATTGCAGCACACATTTTGTATAAACATGATTTAAAAAGATATTTGGCTTTATACCTTTTATTGAAATGCCTTCTACTTTGGAAACTAATAAAAATGTGTTGAATGCAAAAAACATAATTTACATACAAGTTAATCAGACTTTCCTGTATACTGATATTACATTTTCTTGAATGTTTTGGTAATATTTAATAGGTTCCATATGTCCATCTTTGCAAGGGACATTCACATTCCCCTTTTCCTCGAATTTACCTCTGTTTAGTCTGATGTACTGACCCCTATTAATTAATGGTACTTTTTAAATTAATAAAAGTGGTAAATTACATTATACATGCTTTTCATCCACACTTTAAAGGATAAGTTCACCTTTGGAACATGTTACATGTTCCACCCGTTTTTAGGATGGAACATGTAACATGTTCCCATAGCTGCAGCCGTGCCCGCCGCCCCCCTCCCTCTGACAGATAGTAAAGGGAAACCCCGTACTATCTGTCAGATTTGAAAACAACAGGGCCGTGCAGGGCTCCGCCCACATGGCCACGTCATTCATTCACAGACTTCCTTGAATGAATGAACTGCAAGTCCTGACAGCCTTTGTGGCTTTTGGCTTGTAGTTTTCAATGAACTACCACGGCATTGTGGAGCACTGTGGAAGTTCATTGAAACTTGCTTTTAGAATATCTGCTTGCTTGTACATCCCGTACGGCAAGCAGATATTCTGACAGGTCTGCAGGAGACCTGCATGGTATCAATGATCTACTGATTGCTGGTGAAATGCTTTCCAGGCTCCTTTTGGACAAAAATGATAAATGCACACTTTTTTACCTGCAAAAAATGTGCATTT